ATTAACAATTTATTACTCACCTGCCTTGTGGTGGTGTTTGTTGTATATTTTTATAACAATTAATAAGCTTTCAATTAAAAGTATATTTTTTTTTTTTTTTGTTAAAAATGTTTAGCAGCTGTTCATACACTGTTCATATTTGTGATCCACAAAAAAAAAATTAAAAAATAAAAACAAGCAAATTTAAATTAACAACAAAAACGCCTTTTCTGGTTTTTGTATAATTTTGTTGTTATTTAATACATAATTGCAAAATAAAAAGATATGATGACTTTTTTTGTTAATTTATTTTTGGTAGGGTTTTAAATTTAATTTCAAAAATATATATTTACAAAACAAATCATTGATGTCAGAGTCAATAAACCCGGAAATGTACAGAAAAACGGTTTTATAAAAAAATGCGCTTTTTATTGTTGTGATTTAATATTTTTCAATTTATAACTTTTTGTTTTTGTAAATTATTTTTAGCAATTTCAGTATTTTTATTTTTTATTTTCTTAATTTATTATCTATTTTTTCCATTGATATTTCCTCTTTGCTCTTTTTTGCAGCTTAAAATGCTAAATTGTAAATTTTTTTCTTGTTGTTGTCACTCATAACTTTTTTTGTTTTTCGTATTTCCGTTTTTACTTGTAACAACAAAAAACACGGTAATTTTTTCTTTCTTTAAAACACATTCACATACATACATCAACTTTTTTTGGATATTTTTTTGCATACGTTCGTAACAAGTGTTTTTGTTTATGTTTTTCTTTGAAAAATTTTTTCTCGGAAAATGCTACAGAACAATTTCCTGGCAACCGTTACAAACCACCGCTAATAATCAACTGATTTTAAGTATCCAATTGGACTGTTGTGTTTAAGAATTTCTGTTAAAGCTTAACAGAAAATAATAAATACACTCGAAAAGACAGAAGAGAGCAGAATGCTGTGCACAGAAATTTCGTCAAGCGGTGCACTGCAATTAGTGTTGCCATATATTTTTTGAAAAAAAACTTTTTATTTTTAAGAAAAAAACTTTTTTTTAATAAAAAACCAATTATTTTTTTAAAATTACAAAATACTCCAGGTAAATTAGTCAAAATTGAGGAATTTTAAATAGCTTAATGAAAATACAGAATTTTTTTCAATAAATCAGTAGTAAGGATTTACTGGTCACTGTGGTCTTAGATCCCATCCATTTATACTTGGAAATGTCATGATAAATCTATGTAGATTTTGTGCACTACAGGAGGAAACCTCTGAAAATATACTTTTGTAACTACCCACCATTAGAGACTCGAAAGACGAAGATTTCACCTCTCACCGATTATGAGTGAACTTGGTGTAGTATGGTGAACCAATGTACAAAATGTCCACAATAACGTAAAACTGTATTGCGTCCCTGATCTCTGATCTAAGAGATTAAAGTCATCAGTACCGGTCAATGTTTAGTTTTTAGGAATATCTCCCATATTAATGATATAAAATATTATTTTAATAATGGTAAAAAGAGTTTTTTATTTGAACTTATTTAATAAAAAATTTAAAAATTGTATAAATTTTCAAAAACCTGTTTATAGGAATAAAACAAGATACATCCAGTAATATACCTAGTATACATCCAGTAATATAGTCTAGTCTATAGTCTAGTCTATAGTCTAGTCTATAGTCTAGTCTATAGTCTAGTCTATAGTCTAGTCAATAGTCTAGTCTATAGTCTAGTCTATAGTCTAGTCTATAGTCTAGTTTATAGTATAGTGTATGGTCCAGTCTATAATAAAATCTAAAGTCCAATCTATAGTCTGGACTACTTTCAATAGTAGAAATTCAATAAGGATATTCATGAAATACGTGGGCAAACTTGCACATTTGTATTATTTAGAACAGAAAATTTATTTTAAAATGATCAGTTCAAATAGGCGATCAATGTATCAGTGTTGTGGAAGTAAAATCCTGAATAATTTGTGACAAATTCAATGTAAAATCCAAAATGCACAATTTGCGAGGCTTTTTAATGTTTATATTTTTTGGTAAAACATCCAGTTTAAATTTGACGTTTTCTAGCGGCTTTTGCAAAAACCTAAACCTTTGTCATGGTTTAACGAGAATTGATGGAAAAATATTGGCAACACTGGCTATGCTCTGCTTACAATTTCTCTCTTCGGCGTTGAAATTTTGCCAGAGAGCACAGAAACTGGGAGAATAAACAGATAAAACAGTTCACGGCATGGTTACCAGATCGACTCATATAAATGAATGCCATATTTAGTAAATTATTTTTAATCTTGGTATAAAATTTAGCAATAATTTTTAATATTAACAATAATAGGGAACTTAAAAAATCCTCATTACTATATTTTAGATTTTCTAGGGTTTAATATTTTTATTAAAAATATACAACAAATTCTTTTTTTGTGATAAAACAGTCTCTCTGCTCTGGGAAGGAAAAACCCGATTGCTAATTACGTAAGGTTACCAAATAAATATGTCGTTAGGGGTGGTTGAAGAGACTTACAATCGATGTTTTGTTAAAATGTCGAAGTCGACTATTTTGTCCAAACAAAGATGACTATATAATAAGAAAAAGTCGAATAATGGATTTTGTAAATACAAGTCAAAATAAGTAGGAAAAACTCGAAATGTCGATAAGTCAATATTAAAAAATGATTCGAAAAACGTATTTTCAAAATTTAATTGAATTTACACAAAAATTGGAAGGACATACATAATTAGAACATCTACATATGTATATACTGCTGTACATTATAAGAAAATCAGTCCAAAATGTAAGACTTAACCCATTCGTTCCTACTGTACTCGCGTGGGTACTAAAAACAAAAGGTTTTATAATGCTAGATTATCCATGTTACTGAGTTTTTTGTAAAATTTGATGTTTGGAACATTACTTTAGGATTTAAAGAGTAAAAACATATAAAAACATATAGTCATATAAACATAACGGTAAATTTTAAATAATTTTTTTGTCAACAGAGTTTTTCAATTGTTCAATTTATCGCCCCTTTCATTGCAATTTGCTGTCAAACTCATTCATTTTGAGTTGAATGGATTAGAATTTTACAGAAAAATAAAGTAAACAGATCAGCCCAGATTTTGTTAAAAAATAATTAAAAACTAGTTTTTAAGTCAATTTTTGTAAGCTTAAATATTGGTGTACTCGCTTGCGTACAATGGGACTACCCATGCCTATTTTTTCATATATCTTAATTATCTATTAAGGATGTTTATTTCCTTTTTGGTAAATATTTTAGAAGGCTTGTAAGTGCTACTGATTATCTTTATAATAAATCAGTTCACATTTAGATTTTTCCATTATTTTTCCAAATATTGACAAGAAATTGATGAAAAAAGAATTGATAAATACAGTTAATTACTGGAGAATCTACCAGACAACACATTTAATAATGAATCTAATGGAAAAATTCTCAATACTAATTGATTCGATTTTTTATGTAGGAAAGTACCAAAATATTAAAAAAGCAAGTAAGAAATTATAGTCTGGCGAGGCCGACCATATAATACCCTACACCTGTTACAAAAATTAAATGTGATTTAGTTTTCTTAATAACGCATTAAAGTTGAATTGTACCTTGCCTTGAATTATACTTAAGCCATTTATTGTTGAACAAAATTGTGGACATTTAACTAAAATTGTATAGGGCCTATGGTCAAATGAGGCCTTATAATTATAAAATTCATGAGAATCATCAAGGCTAGTATAGAACTTGGTTTTGCAGCTTTTTGTCGAGATAAGAGTAATTATGAAGTGGTGTAGGGTATAAAAAATAATAAAAATTGCCTTTAAAATTTTTTTTATTTATTTGTATTTATACCCATATTGTCCCGCTGTACCCATCCGAGTGCAGCCCAAAAATCGAATTTTAAAAATTTTTTGATTTTAAATTGTATTTTAAATTAACCCATAATAAGATATATTTTGCAACAAAAAATTTAAATTTATTGATTTTAAGATGGTTGGGATCTAATGGGTTAAAAAATCAATTTATCTAAATTTAAAAACAAACGTTCATTCATTTCTTAACTCGATAGAATTATATTTTTAATATAAACAAAAAGAACAAATCAACATACATATCGTCACCTGAAACGCAAACGGCCCTATCTAACATTTTTAAAATTTTACAGGAGAAGCAAAAAACTATTTATATTGAAAATTTTATTTCTATCAACGCGATTTAGTCGACTATTTAAAAATTTTAAAAATTCGAAAAATTTACATTTCGTTTCAACTCATGTTTCAACTATAGAATCTTATTAAATAAAACTTTTGATTAATTTAGACATAATTTTTCTCTCCACCAATTTAATTAAACGTAACCTCAAACGATGTAAAAACAACGGTGTATATCCACTCGGAGACCATAAGGTCCATTGTGATTCCCTTCAAGAAGCGAAGATTCAAAAACAAAGAAGCAAAGAACACTACAAGACAAGAAAGTAAGAATATAGGTAAAGAGGAGAGATGAATGGAAAATGGGTCTATTCCTAAGGGGATACAATATCTGTCAAGTTCTCACCTAAGGAATAAATAAATAAATGATAGAGAAAATCCATGTCCCCTTATAAAGCACATTCAAAGAATGGCACCCAACACAATCTAACGACAAACAGTCTCATAATTTCCCTAAGGGCATTCCTACAATCTGCAGCCAGGTGCAAACGTACCATGAATATTATTCCGATCGAAAGTGGAATTGTTTTTCCTATTTTTCTTCTTAAAAAAAAATTCGCAATTACAAAGTGGGATTAAAATTTATTTAAGGTTATTGTTTTTTAAAGTTTTAATCGATTTATTTGCGATGTATGTAATAATTTCAAATTCGATCGGACAGACCCCTGAATTGCTTTTAATATATGTATATGAATTTAAATTTTATGAAATAAAGAAATAAAAAATGCAAGAAAATATTCTGAAAATTCTCAAATAAATCGTAAACAAGTTTAACAATATATTTTTAAATATGTAACTTTAAACTTACCTTATCTTTTTAAGGAAAAAATAGAAAATTAACAGCATATTTCTTAAATAGTTTGCATTTCAGATATCTTCTCTTGTAAAATACCAATAATATTAATATTTATATATTCGGTGATCTGTAAATAATAAATTATACACAAATAATTTTTTTTTTAAATACAACATTAACTTACTGTCATTCTCAATTCGAAATTATTATCTCCCGAAATGTTGATCTTTAATAAACTTGTTAAACGTTCGGCATATTTTTTTAACTTTTCCAACTCACGTTGGGTGTAGGAAAAATAGCTGCTATAACCGGCCTTTTTTAAATCATCATTTTTCCCATACACCACAGCATTGATTACAAAACCAAGACACTGTACCAACACAAAAACGATACGTATGTGTTCTTCCTCCTGCAAAAGTTCATCATCCAATTCTTCTAACATCTTAATCAATTCACTGAACTTATGAAAGGAGCACATTTGTATTTCTGTTTCTGTGATCTCACAAATCAATGTCCAAACCAAACATATAGCTATAGCACGTCCAGTTTCACTGGTCAACGATATGTGATGACTTATTGTTAATATGTTGAAGACAAATTCGATTCCTTCTGTTTGAAAGGCATTCCAAAGACGTTTCGTGGCCACATGCAACTGTAATTCATGAAAATTATGCACATATTTTACAAAAATTAGCTTATTCTTACATGCATTGGACTCAAAGTGTCGACATATTGGAATGTCTTCTGCAGAAGATGAGAGCGCCATTCGAAATTTTCCGGAGTGGCATTTATAAAATAAATCATAGAAGCGGCCACAAAAAGATTCGTAATTTCATCAAGATTTAATTCTTGGTTTATTAACAGATTACGGAATTTTTTGCAAATCTATCATATAAAAAAAGTAATTGAGTACTTTAAAAGTTGTTTTAAATATGTAAATTGTATACCTCTTCTATATCTTCGGTATGCTGCAAAAATTCGCATTTATCCGCCAAACATGTTTGGTTCATAAATTCTTGCAAAGTTGATAAGCTATAGGAAGTTTCAACTATCAAATGCATTCCATCATTTTTATCCTTAAATTCATCTGTATTAATGTTTTCCATAATTAAGAAATTTTATTTCAATATTTTTGATAATTTAAAGGAATAACAAAATGCTTGTCTTTTGCGCTTTATTTAATGTTTCTAATACAAAAGTCAACATTACCACATCAAAATTTATTAGCACAAGAGTGTACCCAAACTATTAAATTAATAAATGTCGTTGCCATATTTTCATTTTGTTCAGTTTTACTAATATTTTGCATATTAAAGAGAAAATATTGAAATATTGTTACTGACTACAAAGGCCGAGGCAAGAACACAGGGTATACAGAGGCGTCACGAGCAAAAAACTATTTCCCTCTCTTTCGCACAAAACGAATTCAATAATTTTTTTTAGCTGTATCTTATATACCTCTTCTCACCAAACAATTTCAAAATCAAACAAAAGCTGATTTTAGACTTTTTTAAATGTCAAAAGTGACACCTCTGTATACTTTGTGGCAAGAAGTCCAAGCAAAATTAATTATTTGTACTTGAGCAGGGTGCACTTATAAGGTGATTTCAATTCAACAGCTGATCACTCATTTTTTTTATTTGAGGTAGATTCAACTGTCAAAGTACACCATTTAGAGTTGCCACAATCCGAAAAAATATGTACATCTATCTAGGTATTCATTATATTTTTAGGACAAAAAATTACTAAATAAATTTTATATTCATTTTAATCCGTAGTAAATTTATGCGAAATACTCAAAAATTGCACAAACTATTTGTCTTAAATATGCATCTATTTTATCAATTATAGGGAACTTTTTACTAATCAATTGAGAGTACAAACATCCCACAATTGTAAATAAAATTATTAAAACTCGATTTTATCATAGATATCTTAATTTTTAACAACTTTCCATGGTAGTGGTTTGGTCACATTTCTATAAAGATCATTATATATTTCTTATACGACAATAGTAGAGACCTACACGGTATTATAAGTTCCCAATATTGACTGATACAAATAATATTATACATATTAATTTGTATTTTTGCTACTACTTACAATTTTGTAATCTAATACTAATTTTTTGTTATTTTAATTGATAATTTATTTACTTTTTTAATAAGTAAATAATAAATAATATTCTACCCCCTTATTCACAAACAAGATTTTTATTTTATAAAAGGTTTATAAAACAAAATTTCCATACAAAATACCGTTTATAAAATAAAAATTTTGTTTGTGAATAATTTTTCAATTCATGTATAATTTTTAATAAATTTTATCTTATAATACATATTTACTTTACGTGAAGAGATTTTTGGGCATGTGGGATTGTCTTTTTGTAAGGTAAATTAAAATAAAAAACACGGTGGCAACATGTAATTTTTTTGACAGAAGTATCTACTTTTGTTGTTTTTGTAGAATTGACTTCACCTTATAACACCCAATTTACACGATGATTTTTTTCATGTTTGCCCAGACGTCTGTTTTCATGTTTGTCGATGATTGGTGGTGAGCGGGGTAGAGAAGAATGGGGGGTAAGAAAACAAACATGATTTGGGATTTTTATGATTGTTTTTGACATTCCTCTCTAATTTGTTGATATTATGCTCATGTAAAAAAATAATTATGTCTTTTTTTTACATGAAAACATTCAAATTTGCATTAAAAAAATACTATAGCGTGTAATTAAATTTTTTTAAATCAAATTAAATGGTTTTTATGTTAAAAATTTCATTTTATTTTTATTACGAATAAGTAATTAAAAAGGATTATACAATTAAACATCAAAAATAGACATGCATATTTGCATGTAAAAAATCACCGTATAAATGTTCATGATTTTTTGGAAGATTCTCAAAAGAGAATTGGAAAAAACAGACGTCTGAAAAGTCTTCATGTAAATTGCGCCTAAGTTCACCCTGTACTTGAGTATAACATTATAATTGTATTTTTTAAGATACATGTTCATAGTTGCCAGATGATTTGGGTGTAAAATTGTCAAATTTCGAGGAAAAAATCGCCAAAATCGTCAACTAATTTTTCGAAATCGTCATTAAATCGTCAAAGCTATTTTCCATTTATATAATATACATGTTTGATGGCATTTTTACGATTTTATAATAATTATTTTAACTATTGAGAAATTTTTATCAATTTCGATAGATTTTAGTTTTGTTTGTTTGTACTTCAAGTTTGCTTAGATGCATCTGCAGCTAAGACTTCTTGGCTGAATCGAAAGATTATAACGCCAACACCAATTATTTCAGTACGACTAGACAGAATATCAAATTGAGTTTTTTTGGTTCTCCACCATAATCAAAATTGAAACTTAGGTTAAGTTAACACGAATACATATGGTCAACATGCGCTTCAAAAAACCGTAACTCGGTACAGTTATTCGACGGCACACATTTGACCAATGCGGTTTGAAACGTAAAACTCTCGAAAAAGGACGGCCTGATTGCCCTTAAGCGATAAGGGCAACTACTCACGACGATCTTCCTCCACCCAGAGCAGAATTACGAATGCATTTGTTTATTATATGTTTAATTTGGAAACTATGATTTTAAATACTTTACATTGAGTTCTTGCAAACTAACTTGATATGATCTCTAGTAAATGTATGTATATTAACTGTTTCAATTATGCGTATGCAAAACAAATTTCCTCCTTTAAATCAAATTTCCAAAAACACTACTCTCTCTACCCTTCTTCCCACAACCAATTATTCTAGATCCAATAACCCCTAAGTGCTAAAAAGAGAATATCTCAAAAATGTTTGAGTTCGTTATTACGTAAATCATTTGATCAATGGACATACTCTAAAACATTATAATGTTTGATTTCATTAACATTCTCATTGAATATTCTAAATACATCGATTTTCTTTAAAATTATAGTTAAAAAACTGATAAAATGTATTAAAATTAGTACAAAAATCCTATTTTAAAAAATCGTCAAATTTAGAGTTAAAATCATCAAATCGTCAACAAGCCATTTTTGACAGTGAAAATCGTCAAAATGACGATAAATCGTCAAATCTGGCAACAGTGTCCATGTTGCATATTTGATAATGCAGTTGTATGGGTATTGCAGTTTACAAGAATACGTATAACAAAATTTATAAAATATTCCTAAATTGTAAATTTTGGACATAATAACAATATTTTATACTTTTTAAAAGACTTAAATAATTAAAATATTTTTTATATTTAACATTTTCGCACCGACTAAAAATTACATAAATTTATTAATTTTATGTTGCATATGATTCTTTTGTAATGGTTTTTTTTAATATTTGTAGTGCTTCCAGATTTATAAATGAAAATATCTATTTTTTTAACAAAAAAAGTTATATATTATGTATTTTCTTTGGTGACACATTTCGACTTTTCTTATAGAATAATCAACTTTTTCTACAAAAAGCCAGTTGTTCGGAAGTTGACTTTAAGCGAGTAATTCCCAAAAACATTTCCCCAGATTTTATATTAGATTTGTTTGCCACTAGTTCTCAATTTTGTTTTCACAAAATACAACATTACAATCTAACGGTAAATAAAACAAAATTATCTAATAATATGAACTTCGATGCGAAGTAGATTAATCAAAATTTGTATTTATTTTTAAGCCACCACCACAATCAAACTAAAGATCAAAAGTTTATCAATGAGGACCACTAGCAGACACCATCCGACTAAATGAATGAGAAGAACCTAATCAACATGAAAAATTAATGAAAAAAGTCTCACAAAAGGAAAAGAATCCACGTCATGTAAGCACGCATTTATTAATTGTTCAATATATTTTAGAATAATTAATAATAATTTTTTTCTTTTTCAGTTTATTTCATACTTTCCTCCTGTTTATAATAATTTGCTGGTGTGGTGTACAAAAACAAAACAAATAGAAAAATGATGCATTTATCATTACGTCAAATACCAGCTGCTGTAAATAACAGAATAACCAAAGCGGCGTCACTTCAATTTAGATATTATAACAGTTTTGAGAATGTTAAACAAAGTAAAATTACTGGAACTTTGGGCAATCGCGTATCGAACCTCGCAGATACTGGTGTGTTTTGTGCCGGCGGTTATTCGACATTAACACGCACTTTACCTCAAGGAATATTTATTCAACAGCAATCTGCTTCAAATTATTCAACAGTAAGTGCTTATTGAACGTTATTATTTTCTTTTTAATAAAATTATTAATTAATTGTTAAAACGAACGTATTCAGTGTAAACAAAAAGAAACAAATTTGTCCAACTGCGTAAATTTTCTTACATTCAATATAACCTAACTACCGGGAGATAAAAGCAAAGTTTGTATCTCGTGCTTGTTTATCGTATTGTACATTTTATATTTTAATTTAAAAATGCAAAATAGAATTTTCATTTCCAAACTAAAACATAAATATTAAATTATATTTAAAGCACGTTTTTACTTTTGTTTACGAAATAATCATTAAGCTCTTTTATTCTTTCTACGAATTTGTACATGTTGATGTATATTTGTGCGTGAGTTTGTATGCCAGTGTATATATATATAACACTATAGTGTTTGAAAAACATGTGCTGATCAGACAAGAGATGCCATATGTGTGATCAATGATCATAATTGTTGTATTTTAAATAATGATTTAAGTATTAAATTTATTATAAATCAAGATCTTCAGAAAATAGCTTCTAAAAGAATTTCTATACAATTCAAGCATTTTCTTATCCGAATGATAAAATTAAGACTAATTAAAATGTTTAAAAAAAATACTAAGGCTGCTTTACATTTTTATACCCTACACTACTAGAAATATTGGTCCCACATCCACTTAAGAATACCCTTAAAGTATACCAATCGGCTCAGAATCACATTCTGAATCTATTAAGCTCTGTCCCTCTGTTTGTGTGTCCATGTAAAACTTGTGCGCACTCTATATATCGCAATTTTCAAGATAATTTGAAGACATTTGGCACATACTCTTCTTTTGACCCAAGGACCTATTAAAAATGGTTGAAATCGGCCCTTATTTCGCCTAGCCTCCATATAAGTTCTTTATTACATATTAGAAAAATAATCCACATTTTTAATATACTCACTGGTGTAGGGTATGATATGGTCTGCTATGGCCAACTATAGATTCTTGATTTGCATAAAAAAAATATATTAAATTGTTGCAGTCAATTTTCTTCTTCTTTGGATTCTTACTAATG